TAATGGGAGGATGATATTAAGAATCTATGTAGATTAGAAACTTTTATGCAAGAAGGATGTTCAAAGGAATGTACTTTGAATGTGAGACTTCATAGACTACTTTTTTAATATCATTGGCAAAGTCTTTGTGACTTTGGTGCTATGACATTATAAAAGGATCATTGCATAAAATGTTAGAATCTAACATATTCTAATAGTGGCAAGAAGTTGGTATTCTTACACTTGTGATAAGGATTAGGAATTGTGAAATGAGCATCATTAGAAATGTGTTCAATTGATCTATTTTACAAAATAAGGACCGTAGGTAAATATAGTTTGCATGCTTGGAGCATGGGACAAATATTGTTATAATTCAAGTATTAAGTTGATTATCCGAAACATTATACAATGAATAATGTGTAATCGATATGGTGATTAAATAAAAAGTGTTTTATTTATACTCAAAAGTTTTGAGACCATATTGGATTCGATTGTTCTTGTGTTTCACTTCACATGTTTTGACTTCCAGAATAACTAGGTTATTCAAACATCCACAATCAATCGTACTTTGGAAGTAGGTAATGAGGTAAGACTGTCATGAATCCGAATGTAGATTGTCTAAAATGTTTTAGACATAGCAAAAGTCTGCTACAGTGTTCATGAGTGCTCATGAAATAAGATTTGAGTATTGGATTAAACCCACGCTCACGTCAATCATTTCATGGATTTTATCACGGGTGATTGTGAGACGATAATATCTTCTATGCTTGAAACGGAGACATGTGAGTTGTAGTTTGCAAGTCGGTTGCACATTGACATATGTAAACGCACCAGTAACTTGGTGTTATAAAACATATTGTTGTGTGTGATTTGATGAGTAAGTACAAGCAAACATTTGAGTCGAAGTTTATCCGTTCCTTTTACTCAAAGTAGGATAAAAGTGATATCTGTGGGCCCCTCGATGATTTAGTGATGACACCCTAAGCGCTTGGCCAAGCCAAGACTGATTTGATTTGTTTAATTAGTCATTCGTCATAAATCGGAAATCGGGAAACAACACATAGACAAAGAGAATGATTATAATCCATGTCTTATGTCTATACGATATCTAGAATGGAGGAATATATGATCCCTTATCTAAAGGACACGTTGATGATAAGATCAGAGTTCGACAGCGGCTTTTGAAAGCTACGATTGCTAATCAGGTTCTGAAGTCGTACTTGAAAAATAGTTATTAGACTTATCCAAGTGGGAGACTGTTGGATTAGGTGTCTAAGCCCATAACTATTTTGGTATATACTTGACCCGATTATGAGCATAATCCTTTTGGGTTGCCTTCACTCATGCAACTTGATAGGATGACAAGACGAGATAGAGTAGAATTTATTATATGAATAATAAATTCGTACTCAAAATGGTTTTATTAATATATTACAAGATTAATATATTATTTGGAAATCATATTATTTAATTAGTATTGATCATAAATTAATTTGGAATTAATTTGGTGATCAAAAGAGACTGATTAACTAAAGGGGACTAATATTGTAATTATTTGATAGTTGCAATTGGGCTGATGGATTACCTTGGAATAAGGTTGAACGAATTCTATGGGAAGCCCATAAGGAATTCGTCCAAGGGCTATTCTAGAAGGGGTCCATGGGCTGCTTAAGGCCTAAGCAGACACATTAGGGTTTCCACCTAAAACCCTAACAGCCACAAGTATAAATAGACCCGATTATTAGGGATTTTCATCCAAGGCTTTAAGAAACCCTAGAGTGGTCGAAATCCTCCTCTCTCCTACATCATCCTTTGCATAGAGTGTTTGTGACTCCATTAGAGGTGTAACACTTGGGGCACTAGGCTTTCAGAAGTCAAAATCAAGAAGGATTAACTTGTTATTACTACATAACAAGAGAGGTAAGATCTAAACCCTAATCATATGTGATTTTCAGATTTGGTATGCTAGTTTTAGGGTTTATGCTTTAGTATTCAATGTTGTATGTTCAAATTAGAAAAACCTAGATCAAAGCAATTAGGGTTGCATGTACACCATAGGAATGATGTTATGCTCAAAACCCAACAATTTATCGATAGTATTTGTCAATGCAATTTCTATTTCTCTTTTAATAGACTATTACATTTGTACTGTTCAATAACTATAATCACTAAATTAAGTCGCGTACCTCGGCGTTTTCTACCGGCGGGGTGTGACAGGTGTACATCTGTAGTCTTGTAGTCATGAATTTCCATAGCAAAGATTTGTTGTGTAGTTATGGTTAGAACGTGTTGGGTACTCGTTTCAACACTGTATGACGGCGTTTCAACATTGTATGCATGTCATAGATTATGATTTCAAGGTTTCAGACTGTTGATTTCCGATCTTGCAAAGTCTACCATTGGACTTGGTTTGTGTTTTCCATATTGGGAGTTTTTCTTACTTTGTGTGGGTTCATTGGAGTTGATCAGACTGTAGGTGGTGAGGAAGGTTATGTTCGCACTTCAATAGTTTTAGGTGTCTGTAATCATTTTGGTGGTGCTGCCTAAGTTCCGACATGTCTTGTGAACCCTTTTATGTATTCACCAGTTTAGTGAGTGGGTTGGTAAAGTCGCGAAAGATGCGAGTAAGGTTGGAATTCTTCATATTTTGCCCGGACGGATTTCTTGGACGAAATCTAATTCTAGTGGGGAAGAATTATATTATCTGAGTACTGATTATGTCTTTCTACTCTTTAATTGAGGGTTTTATAGTCCATAAGGAAGTAGACGGATGGGGTGAAGTAGGAAGCAATTTATCGCATTTGCTAAAAAATCTGAAAATTTGGAAATAATCGTAAAAGCGCAGAGCACCTCTTAAACAACACGGCGTGCTTCCGGCTAAGTGGGTTGATCATCTTATTAGGATTTTGGGAGTATTTTAGGGCCATTAACCCCTAGGGTTCGACCAATCTCAACTTCCATGACCCTTTGGGTGATTTTCCAGAAACCATAACTCTCTTTATTTCTCTCTCTCTCTCTCTCTCTCTCTCTCTCTCTCTCTCCCCCCCCCTCTCTCTCTAGATCTCATTATTGAGCTTGTGGTGTATTAGTGAGCTTATTTTACATTTTTAAGTGATGTATGAAGATCTTGAAGTTCTCATGGTGTCATTGAAGGAAGGATCAAGTATAGATTCATCAAAGTTACTTCATTTATGGAATATCGTGAGCAAAATACACACACATAAGCAGTTTTACGATTTGAGATTTCGTATTGATTTCCTTTATAACTCTGATTTTGGATTGTGGTTTATGAACAAATTGTTTTGACTTGATTATAACTTTATGAAAAAAGATGTTTATTCTAAATTAAAAATGAAAAAATTATTCTGAAAATTGAGACTATACATGACATACACACACCTATTAATAAGAAAAATAAACTTAAGGTATGTGTTATCCAATCAAATAAGGACACTTAGGACTAGACCACATGGCAGTCTAACAAACAACTCATTAAGTTAGGAGCGTAATAATAGTCTTAAGCATCATTCTAGAAAGATAATATCTTAAACAGAAAATATCAATTACAAAAAATACAAAATACATAACTAATTAATCTTCAGAAGCTTCAGACTTGTTGCAACAAATACAAAAATCTACAAAATAAATATGGCTACACGGTTTATTTCATAGTGTCAGGTTGAAGATGGAGAAACCAACTTTGTATCGTGGCAGTCATAATGCATTGAGTCTGGCAAATAATCCGGTATAGAGAAATGAAACATATTAATATGAAGCTGAATTCCATTCATGGTGTTCTTGAAGAAGATATTTTCTCTATTGAGAATATAATAATTGAAGAGAACCCGGAAAATATGTTAACAAAGATGCTACCAATGGTGAAATTCATATTTCCTAGCTCGATGTGGTGAATATCCGCAGAAATAACTCTTCAAAGGAAAACTAGCAAGAAGGAGATGACTATTGAGAATCCTTGATCGTTGAAGATAATTCATGTCACATTGAAGATTAAGATTGTTAAAATGTGACTTGGAATTTGGTGACCTAAATAAATAAATTGACCCGGAATGAACTGAACAAACCCGAACGACGAGTTTGAAGTAGGGTGAGGGATGTTAGGCCTAAAGTTGTAGACCATAAACACTTATCCCACGTGGGGTTGCAGGGCATGTAAGCCGCTATGATATGGACGTTTTTAGTTATTACATATTTACTTTCATATGATCTCGGTCCAACAGTTGCTAGGGTTTACGGATATAAGTATTGGTAGCTACATATTCCAATATAATCATTTTGAAAACAATCGAGAGTAATAAAAAAGTTCTTCGGTACCTGCATGTGGAGGCATGTCACATCCACGAAACCATAATTATATGTTAATTATCTTAGTCGTTTCTTTATTGTTTTTCCCGATCACTTGCGTAACACAAAGAAAACAACCAAATAGACCAATTTAGTAATTTTCTTTGAAAATTATATCTGGCACATCATCCTCGGACATGTACATTCATGTGTCAACTCTTTGTTAAGTGCATGGTAAATCACTGTGTGAAATGTAAAAGTATCTATAAATATTATTATTTTATATACAAACAAATTCATTAATACCATGGTAAGATTTGACACTTAATAGACCAGCTGTTGCTAATTAGATTAGCAACTAGTATTTATAACATAAAAACCGTTCATTTACAAATAATTAATCAACAATGGTAATCATTTATCTGACCTCAACACATGCCATTTGATTTCAAAGTGTTTTGCAACAAACTAATATATAATTCATCGTTAAGTCCGATTTTGTTCCACATCACAGGTCAAGTAGGAAGGAAAGGTAAATAAAATATTTGTCGAGTGATTCTATTGAAAGCACAGAAGCGACATACACGCTAAAACTTAAAAAAAAAGAAACATAAACGAAGGCGAGAGGTAAAAAGAACTTGAGAAATCAATTTTGACATTTAAACAAATAACAAATTCAAATGTTTTAAGACGAATAACGATGCATTGTATTTGAACTTTCAAGTTTCAACAAATGAAACAATCTTTGTAAAGAGACAACGGCATAGAGTACCGATATTACTCTGCAATTCCTGTACATTACTTTGTATTTTACTTGGCATGTCGGAATGAGAGTTGATGGAGATCCTCTTGAACACTTGGTAACGACGTCGGCTCTCCTCAGCATCAACCATTTTCCTCCTCACATTATTTTCTTCCGAAAGTGCTCCTTGTATACTTACCAAAAAGTCCCTACCCTTTAAGCGGCAAAAATCCAAGTCCATTAGCTCTAGCATCACCTCTTTCACATGCAGTCCCACGCCTCCGGCAGCCACAGCGAGTACCACCTGTATTCTACATTGTACCATCTTATTTGGATCACACCCCGGTAAAACAATGGCGTATACGAGATATGTCTGGTTAGTCATCCAGCCTTGCCTTACACCAATCGGTTTGATACTCGATATGTTTCCTGCCCGTTTTTGGGTTGGGTCGATTATGATCCAGTTTAAACTCAGGGATTCTTCCAGGTGTGAAACTGTTGCTTCATCTGCACCTGCAAACTCGTCAACATTCAGGTTGATGGATCGCAAGATTCCAGGTGCATGTTTGGATTCAAGGTCATGGTTTAGTTTAATCCGCAATGGAGACGATAAAAACTCATCTGTTGTCTCTGTAAATTCAGCTATGGAGTAAATAATGTCATTTTGGTAACGAATGTCGACGGCTGATATGAGTTGGGATGGCGAACGATGAGATGAACAGTTAAGATCATGAAGATGGTTCTGGTGGTTGACGTCGGTGACTAGGGCCGGGAAGGAGTCTTGGAAAAAAGAGCGGTGACCGGCGGAGAAAGTGGAGATGATATCATGGAGACGTGGGTCGGCAATTGAGGGCCAGGTGGATTTGCAAATATGAGACCAGAGATTTTCATCGGTGCAGAGGTGTTGTAAGTATGATGATGCGGCTGCGGTGGAGAAGAGAGATAGACCGTCGAGACGTGGTAAAATGTGGGTCTGAATGATGGAGGGGTGGACATCGGAAAATGTTGTTGCCATGCTAAACAGAAGTGATAATTTTGGGTTTTGTTTTCGGTATGGATAAGAACCGCTGTAAATTTAGGGTGTATTTGAAACCAGCGGAAAGCGGCCAAGTCTACGTTTAATATTCTTAGTTGATTTTTTGACGAAAACAGTATATGTGAGTTCATGGTGCAAGCTTCTAGATGACATGATTTACGTGGCAAGACGAGAAGCTGGCTGCTTCTCCTACAGTTATTTTAAATGAAATAAACGTGTCAGGTTATATTTGGATACTAGATTCATTGTCATGGTGTTTATCTCGGTATATGGCGGTCACTTTTGTGGTTGTTTCTGATTATAAAATATAATAATATATTTGTTATCGTAAGCAATATAACTAAGTAATATACAATGTGGGGGCGAATCCAAGGTAGAACTCAAACCCACTTTTAATACTTACTTCCCAGTTAGGTTCAAATATATTATCAAACCCACTTTTGTTTTTTTCTGATGTGTCCGAGAAAAAGAAGATATGTAGGCCATGTGAAATGTGTAATTGCATTTGATTTTGGAATAATCGCATATGGGGTGATTTTATTTTTAGAAGTGTCAAGTGGCGTTAAAATGGGGTGACTCTTCGGTTAGCTCCGGTTAAAAATTAGACGTGGGTGTGTAATCGCAACTTTTGATCTTTTGGTTTTGGTTGGCATTTGTGTCTGTTCAGATGTCGTCCAATTAAGTGTGCTTCCAAGCTACATTGTAACAAGTTGGGGTTTTACCCCTTCCTTATTACCTTGATATATAATCCATATGATTGCTCTTTCTTGAAAATAATTTTAACAAACGCTCATTAATCTCTTGAACGACTTCATTCTTCGGTGCAATGATTGCTCTTTCTTGAAAATAAACCGGATTCTTTGCATTTTCAACAATAGAAGGATAGACAAATCCAATTAATGAACCAATAGGATCAACTGAATCAACAATGAGAAGATCAGTGGGAATATCAATAATTGGGAATATCAATAATTGCATCACCATCATTCAAACCACCAACTTTTCCTTCTCCTATATCCAAAATCCATTTTGCACAAGTCGCCGTTTCTTGAATATCAGATGCGAGAACACTTAACCTCATGTTTTTTGTTAATGTTAAGACTTTGCAACTTGACCAAATATAAGAGGAACTTAAAGAAGCATTCACAATGTCTTGCCTGCTTCCATTAGAAACAACCGGTAGAATTTGTCTAAAATCGCCTCCAAAGACAATTGTTTTTCCTCCAAATGGCAATTTTGAGTTTCCACGAAAATCACAACTCAATATATCTTTCAAAGAACGATCCAAGGCTTCAAATGCATGCTTATGAATCATAGGTGCCTCGTCCCATATAATCAATGATGTTTTTTTTAACAATTCGGCTACATCACTATCCGGTGCAAAAGAACAAAAGGAATCCTCAGTAAGAAAGGAATTATAAAACGTGAGTGTGCTGTTCTACCTCCGGTTAGTAACAATGAAGCAATACCACTTGAAGCAACATTTAGAACGATATCACCTTTAGATCTTATAGATGCAGATAAAGTCTTCCAAAGATAAGTTTTACCGGTACCTCCATAGCCATAAACAAAAAACACACCTCCTTTTTTCTGTTTAACAGCTGTCATGATTTCATAAAAAATTGATCGTTGTTCAATTGTTAATGAATCAAGTAGTTGATGAGATTCTTTTTGTAGATTGTTCATATCAAAATCTAACTCCTCAGTAATCAAACGGTTGTTTGAAGAAGATACCGAATCATGATCAGGGTAAGGCTTCCCAACAAAATCTTTAAGGCTTGAACTGTTTTGGAGTAGAATTTTTTCAATCTCATATAGCGTCAAGTTTTTAACCTGATCGTCATTAAGGGATAAACCTATACAATTGCAGAGTTAATTATTAAAAGATAAATATAGACAATTATCACGTAATAAAAATAATGTGTAAAAAAACTTTTAAATATTTATAAAAAAACATCAAAATTTCAAATAATAATATATTTAGCATTTAAAAAATATATAATTAATGTATAAAATGTAAGGAATGACAAAAATAATAATACCTGGAGACTTTAATCTTATTCGTTGATTGTAGAGAATTCCATCGGATAAGTATTGCCAAGTATTTTCCCAAACATAACACGGTTTAGACAAACTATTAGACTTTAGCATAGTTGCAAATAGAAACCGTAAATAATAACCAGATCCTGAATGACTTGCTTCGTCGATGACATCAATATATTCTCTATCATCTTCTAAACGTCCAAGAGCATAACATGCATCTCTAAAAGTAGGGCATATTTGTCCATTAACCGTACGAATATCTGCAAACGATTTCGGACCTTTGACTTTATTTAAAAGAATTCTCAAAAAATATGCTTCACCGAGATTAGGTGAAACTGTGTGAATCCTCCCAATAGAAAACCCTTTTTTTCTTGGCTCCCAACAACGATCTTCTTGTTTCCATACAAATTTTGTAGGAAACTCAACATAAGAAAGTTTTCGTGCATCCTCATTATGTTCATTACAACTCATCCAAGATAGGAACATCGAATAAGAAACAAATTGTTTGTTGAGGACATCTTCAATATCATCATCTTCTCCGTATACAACATTTTATTTTCTAGGAAGATGGAACGGAAGCCTTACAACTGACGGATATCTGTAATGAACATCAAATCCATATATACGCCACGAAGCTTCACATGCAGACAAATACCTACAATCATAGTAGTCCTTTATTTCATCAACTGGAGCATCATCATTATCACCTCCGTTGTTGTTTTGTGAAACTTCAACAGTAGCCCGATCAGGACCCTTGTTAATATATTTAAACAAATATTTGATGGAAGCCGCTTGATTGCACCACTCAACATTAACGTGAGCCTGATATCGTTTCAAAAGGGTTTTGTGATATAGAACAACACTTCTGTTGTCTAACTTAACACCCGACTTTTCTATAAAAGATCCATCATTACGTCTCCTATATATAGGATAACCATTTGAATCAACGGAAGTATTCTCCAAGAATGGCTTCGGGAAGTTTTTTGAACACTTGTTTTCACTCATGCATGGGCATTTAGGATTATCAGAACCACATGGACCATGCATCATGAACTCACTGACAAGTGAGTACAATTCTGGATCATCGTCTTTGTTTGGAATTTCAGCCGAAATAACTCGATCAATATGTTCAACAGTAGGAAGTTTGTAATCAGAGTGCATGAATAAACATATATGTGCGTGAGGCAGACCACGCTTTTGAAACTCCACCGTATAAACAACTGTAGATTTAAATAAATATAATATTATAAGATAATAAAAAACATAAAAAAACATTTTGATAACACTATATTGTAATATATGGTACCTGCTTGGACCGAACCTAATAACCTCTTCTTCTTTAAGTCTTTAATCAAAGAATCCAACGTAATTTTGAATAATCTAGACAAGATATCAGGCCTATCTTCGGGATTAAGTGTGGTGTCAGCAAGAAACCTTTTAATTTCAGGCCACTTTGGATTGCATGTTACGGTTATGAAAAAATCTGGGTATCCAAACCACTTACAAAGCGACATGGCATCTAAATAGTTTTGCATCATGTAGCGTGCACCACCCGTAAAAGAAGAAGGCAAGATAACACGTTTTCCAACGTTGGAAATATCAGTATTACCATGACTTTGTACGCTTTTTAAAGTTTCATAAGATTCGCATCTAAGAACTTTTTACTGGTTGCGTATGTAATATAGTCTCTCAGTTTCAATCATCGTATAAGCATCAACCAGAAACTGTTGAAAAAGCCTTCTTGAATTAAGAATTAATGAAAAAACATTAACTCTGTCTTGAATTCTATAAGCAAAGAATTCTCTCATTGTACAGAAACGACGTTTGGTATTAGTTGAATGATCAACATCTCTGTGAGGTATGTCAACTCTATATCCATCATCTCCATATGGAAAGAGTAGTGGGTACTGAAGACCAAGGTAAGCCGGATGTAATTCGTTTATACGTTGTAGACTTCCTGATTTAGTTGTTACGATGATATCTCTATTATCAATTGCATCACCAATGTCACCAACAATTAAAGCAGCAACCTCAGAAGCAGTAGGTAAGTTATATGTCCTTCCATCTTGTTTCCTTCTTCCTATAAGACGTAACTTTAGATCTATATGAGGATTTTCATCAAAACAGTCTCTGGCCATTCTATAACACTTAACCAGCTCATTGATTGAATCCAACATGACCTTCAAAAAGCTAATGATTTCAATATCAAGAGAATGAGAAGTTGATGTGCACCCTTCGTTCTGTGTACTGTTAACAACAACGGTTATATGTAAAATTTAGCAAGTAATAATTATATCAAACTTATAAAAGCAATGGTTTATAAAAAAAATTAATAAAGTTATACCTGAAAGCATGTTGTCTATTTGTTATTTCATTTTCAGTATCATATATGTATAGTTGCGAAAACTTTGGTTTGGATCCATCTGTAGGTAGAAGACTTCCCATGCAATGGTAATTTTGACCGCTAAGTCTGAAAACGTATGGAGCATTGCCTCTATTAATGGAAGAATCAAATTTTCCACCCATTGAAGTAAAGGAAAACATCGAATTGAATCGACGAATATTCTTCATGAAATTTTTTCCTTTTGGATCAACATTACGAAAGAGATTTTGATAATTTGTTGGAGCTTCTTTTAATTCAGGAAGCTCAACTTTTCCGTTACCACAACACATGGAATAAGAAGTTTTCTTTCCAGAAGTATTGCCTTTAAGAGCTTCATATGTCCATAATTGTGCATGACCCATCGTACACACAAAAGTCTGGTCACCATGGTCCAAGTAATCTGTTCAATAAAAACAGTTGTAAAACTTTGAAATAATTTAATGTTGCAATGAGTAATAATTTAAATATACAAGGGGATTATAAAAAAAATTATTATTTTCCTTTTGTAATACCTGATATTAATTGTTGATGAATCTGTTGATCACGTAAATCTTCATCTGATGTTAGGTCCAAAATGGGTATATGAGATATATTTGGAATCTTTCTTTTTTTATTTAGTTTTCTGCATGATAAATTGCTGGAAGAAGATCGAGTGACTGAAGATGAATTCGTAGCTCTCATGTCACCAGACAATATAGAATATTGTGCATTTACTAACAATAAAAGTATGACAATTAGAATTAAATTTATAAAGTAAATAGATAAAAAATAAAAAAAATGAATACATATTATTTTATGTGTACCATATATAGTAACAAACATTAAGTTGAATATAAATGTATTTGTACCATTTGAAATGTTGGACAACGGAGTTCTTGTAGTAAAATTAGAAGCAGATTGAAAACATTCTTGATCACGACCAATATTACCTATCAATAAAAGATAAGTTGATATAAATATGTATTAAGTAGGGAACAATAAAGAAACAGGTATAATAACATAGTATCTTTTTACAAGATTAAGAATAAGTTTATATGGATAAAATTAATTAGGTAGGATGATATATATCATATACCGATTGGTACGGTGGACATGTGATTGGATCTTCTTGTATCCAAATAAAATATCCTTTCTTTTCGTTTATCTTTAGCCTTGTTCAACAATGGACTGCCGATATAAATATTCGAAATAGATTGAACCCGTGTTTGCTGATATCCACATGACAAAGTTGGGATGGCATTTTCATTGTTACCGACAATATTGACAAACTTGCTTGATGAAGGTGTTTGAATGTTGGTAGTTATATTAGAAAGCACTGTAAAAGAATATAAAATATGTAAGTTATAATGCAGATACAAATAATTGTAAGTTAACATATAATAAGAAAACAATAAAAAATAATTTTAGTGATATAATTAGAAATGATATATAAGGGATTTATAAAATAATAATGTTTAATTAATTGCAATGTAGCAAAGAGTGTAGGTAAAACATAATAATATTTAAGATTCAGAGGATTGTGTGAGATGAAAAATATTGTATAAAATAAAAAATTAGTCTATCCGATAGAAAACGATATACCATTAGGCGATGTGGACATCTGATTGGATCTTTTCTTATCCAAATATAATTTTCTATGTTTTCGGTTCTCTCTAGCAGCATCAGACAATGCATTTCTAATATTTAAAGTTGAAGTAGATTGGAAACTTGTATGTTGATAAGCGGATGATATATTTGGATTCAAATTTTCACTGTCATCGCGAATATGTATAGAATTGTTTGAAGATTGTAAATGTTGCCGAGAATAACCTACATTGAACATATAATAATAACAATGGTTAATTAGAAAATACTTTGATTATATGAGATAAAACATGAGAAGATATAAAACAATATTTGTTCAAGATAAGTTAAATATAAAACATTATTGAAAATGAAAGTAAATTGAGGTGTAGATAAAGAATTACCAAATGACAAGTTGGACATAACATTGGATCTTCGTTGATCCAAATATATTTTTCTAAATCTGCGCCTTTCTTTATGTTCGTTTGATTCCATATCGTGTTTGTAGCTTAGGAACAAAAAAAAGTATGTAATGAAAAGTATATTGACCATAATTCCATTAAAATTTAAAATTGAAAATCATCAAAAACAGAGACATTAATACGATTAATATGTAGTAGTTAAAAATTGGTAATATTTAAGTATTGTATATTTTACATTAATAAAAATCAATACTTCCAACAAATAAGTGTATGTTAACATGACAACTAAAATAAGAATTTTATAAAAAAAAATTATTTCTAAAAGACACGTAACTTATAGATAACCATATATATTAATACTTGCATCAAAAAAATTTATATTCATATTGATATAACAAATAAAAGAATGATTTTATAAATAATCTACTATGAAAAGAGAAGGAAAACCCGTTTTTTAGATGAGGCCCTCAAATGTCTTCCCAGAATGTCGATTTTTGACCTAGTTTAATATACGATTCAGCACAAGAGGTTACGAGATTAATAAGACAAAGATACGGAAAGATTCATTGAAAATGACAAAAATACCCTTATGCAAACATTATTGTGTTTAATTTTTCTTATTACAAACAAGTTATAATTTGCATATTCTTAATGGACTTTATTCTATTGCAAATATGGAGTCAATATAAATCATCATAATTTTCAGAAGCATAACGATGGATCATAAAGATTACTACAAACCATGTTCATCAACAGATCCCACAACTGTAATGAAAACATACGAAGGTCAACAGGCTCACCATATTGTAGGGGAAAGAATTGTAATCATTGTTTCCGAGGAGAGATCTATTTACATTTGAAGTTTATATAAAATGGAATTTTCATTTTTTTTACAGAAAAACAGAAAACCAAATTCGGTTCTGCAGCAATGCCTATAAATACACTAACTGTAAATTGTAAATTTCCTTAAGAATGTAGTAAAAGATTAACAACCAAAAAAAGGAGGAGGTGAAAATGATGTTAGAAACTTATGTGTAAAATGGATATAAGGTCATTCCCCAACTATTTAAGATTGTTTTGTCTTCTTACCTGCTATGCAAATAGACATTTAGGTCAACTTTTCACCAAATGTGTAAAATAGCGAACTGATTTGTAAAAATGACGTTTTTACCCCTTGGTCATACAGAAATCACAAATAGTTGGGGACAGAAAAAAGTATTTGTATTTTTCACTTTAATTAATCTACATTAAAAAAAATGAAAATTCCATTTTATATAAACTTCAAATGTAAATAGATCTCTCCTCGGAAAAAAGTATTTGTATTTTCACTTTAATTAATCTACATTAAAACAAAAAAAACCCACAATAATAATAGTTATAACAGACCATTCCCATTCATTTTCCTGTTTCCATTTCATCACACCAAACAAATATAACCACTTTCAAATAAATAGGAAAACACAGAAAATAGCACAGTTGAAAAAAAACATGCATAACAGTTAACTTTTTTTTAATTATATTGCTGTAAACGGTTTCAAGTTTGAATCCCAATGTTGAAAGCAGGGACTTATGATGGAAAACAAGGGCTTAAAAAGACAATTTAGTTCATTCTGACTCTTCAGGTCAACAATACTCTACATGAAAAATACTTTTTCATCTTAGTTTCTTACAGTTTGAATGTTGCTCCAGAACTTATACTTATAAAGTTACAGACCATCTACCACATTTTGATATATGGAATGAAAAGTCAAAAGTCACAATCATATGTTATATCTTGCATCGATTTAGGAACATAAACAGTTAAGCAGGCACACACACGCATACACATTGAGAAGCAGAAACTGATGTTAAAAAACAACACACACATTAAAAAAACACAAGAAGAAACAAAAGATAAACAAACAAGTTGAAAGTAGTTTTTTTTATAAACTTACCGGAAGGATTGAACTCTGTGATTGTGATTGAAAGGACGATTTTCCACTGTGATGATGCAAAACTTTGGAACACGATGCTGTAAACTCAATATTTCAAGAAACAGTGATAACAAATGAATTAGAATTGAGTTATTCATAGTATGTAACTTATAAAAATGATTTTTGGAAAGGATATCAAACTTTGGTTTGAAATTATACAATATTCCAAAATATTAGCTGTCAATGAACATATCTTTGAAACGTTTCCCAAGTTAGCGTGATTTTGAAAGGGATTGACCAAATTTGTTCCTGATTATAAATGATCTATGTCATTTTAATAGTAATTCCTGCATATTAGGCACTATTTTCTTACATTCTAAAATCAATTTAAAAAAAAAACGTAAATAAGGATTTCATAAATTAAGCTATTATATAAAGATAGAAAAATTAAAATTCATGAAAACAAATATCTTCCTTTTTAAAATAACCGTATGTTGCACCATATCACAATTAAAATTTTTGGAAAATTTTACCATACGGCTATATTTTTGTTATTTATAAAATTATTATTTTATCACTTATAGTGCCCTTAGTGGTGACTATATTATTGTTATTTATAACATTATACAAAAGTTATACTTTTGCTATTTTAAGTTGTCAAACCGCGTAAAACACGAGTTGTAGCCTAGTATTTGATATAAATAACAAATATTGACTCTGCAAATTATTAGTTTTAGAATGTAGCATAAAATTACTTATACATCAAGTCAAGTTATGTATAAGAATCATAGACTGTGAAAGAAATTTGTGAAGATTTAAAAATATATCCAATAATAAGAGTTAAAAATTCTTTGTATTTGGTTGACCGGTTAAATTTTGTTGCAGGATGTGAAAGAGACTACACAGAAAAATACCTTGATTTACTGTAATATAAAAGACGATTATGAAGAAAATATGAATGTAATGTCCAAATATAAAGTGCAATATAATTATTGCATAAAGAATCAAATCCAAATTGCTTATAATAAAAGAATAAGTAAAACCTAACACGAATGAATATTCATAGTGCACCAAACACAAAATATTAAAATCCCAAACAAAATCACAGTAAAAGAAAGGAAATATTTAAAAAAAATGGCTCGGAAAATAGCATAGATTAGCAAAGAAAGATTGAAGTTTTTGTCTTCATAAATAGGATCACTTTTCAACTTTAGGAATCAACAATTTTGTGTTAAATAGCCAACAGATTTGTAAAAATGACGTTTTTGCCCCTTGCTCATACAGAAATCATAAAGAGTTGGGGACAGAAAAAAGTATTTGTATTTTTCACTTTAATCAATCAACATTAAAAAAAGCCAAAATAATAGTGATAATAGACCATTCCATTCCTTTTCCTGTTTCCATTCCATCACACCAAAAAAATATAACCACTTTTAAATAAATAGGAAAACACATATAACAGCACTGAAGTTATCAAGATTTTAAGGAGGTATTCACTTTCTTACCTGCTATGCGTAATGAAACCAATGGAGTTATGAAGAATATTTATACAAAGAAAATATGAATGTAATGTCCAAATATAAAGTGCAATATAATTATTGCATAAAGAATCAAATCCAAATTGCTTATAATAAAAGAAAAAGTAAAACCCAACACGAATGAATATCCATAGTGTACCAAACACTAAATATTAAAATCCCAAAGAAAATCACAGTAAAAGTAAGGAAACATTAAAAAAAATGGTTCAGAAAATAGCATAGAGTAGCAAAGAAAGATTGAAGTTTTTGTCTTCATAAACATGATCACTTTTCAACTTTAGGAATCAACAATTTTGTTGTTCCACCAACTTTTTCATCTCCAATACGGGGTGCATTAGGTTTGGTTGCTGATTCATAAACGTCATCATCAAGATCGTAAACATCTACAAGTTTACGTTTGGCACTTGTAGGTGGTGAATTGAGATTGTTGGCTGTTCTTGATGATGGACTTGTACAAATGCCAGAGGGAATATTCGACATAGGAGTATTATCAGCAGTGTGGGAAGTAGCATCCTTAAATTAAAAAAGAAATAATGTTGATTTAGTAATATAAAGGATAACATGTATAAGAGTAAATGATGTTGTATTGTAGTTTACCTTACAACCAACTGTTTCTTGAGATGCAAATTCTGAGCCAATTATATTAACAGATTCAGTATCCATGTCCTATAAAATTATGGATAAAATAAAATAGTATGTTGGGTTAAGGAATCTAGAAAATAGTATTTTCAAAATATGTTTGTTTTAAATTAATTAAGTTGGTGTATTTTTACCTGTTCAATCCTACTCTTTTTCTCAATCTTCTCCAAAGCAGAAATAATGTCAACATTATTCGTTATTTTGGAAATGTTGTAAGAACGACCAAATCTTGAAAAATTAAATGTTTTGACAACAATCTTGAAAGCCAATTTTTTGTTGATCATGGCATTCAACTCAATAGGAAACTCACTTGTATTGCCGAACTACAAAAAAAATATTAATAGATAATAACAATTAAATTAATGTGTGAAAGTTAAGTTGTATTTAGCAAAATGGTATTGCGTATAAGAAAGATATACCCTTTCATATTTTGATAATAAATCAGCAGCAGATAATTTCAGAATATTTCTGACTTCACAATCAAAGATCGTAAGACTGACAACACCAACTAAACCTTGAACTCGAACTTTGATCATAAAACTAAAGAAACACATAAAAAATTAAAAATTGTAAATTAAATATACTAATAATGAAGAATAATATACTAAGTTAATATTTATTACACACCTTGGTTGAGCAGTAACAACTTTGTCCTTGCACTTTTCATTCGTACACACCATAATCTCTTTCTCTTGTAAATGATCTAAGTCACTGACTGTCTCATCTGAAACCTTAACTATTTCAACCTTTGACTTGCAATTTTTGCAAGCATTATAATACCAATTCCGTTTATCTTCAAACATCTTTATTGTGCCAAGAATTACTGCACAACCTCCCTATGATAGTAGGTGTATTTAGGTGTAGTAAAGATTAAAGTATTGAATTAACTAAATAAAAAACAGGATAATTCATATACCTCGTCTAATTCGTGAATAGCGGATATTTGGTGAAAAGAGTTTTTTTGAAGAAAGTCATCATGTAGTGAATACATGATGGATGATCCCGAGTTACGTGAAACCGAAGAAGTGAAAGAGCTTTTTTTTGCTTGTAAACTAATTAAGTTAATTAATGTTAGATAGTATAACTCTATATTATTAAAACATTAAAACGTAATGAGAATCATGTAGAAATTTCACATAACCTTTTTTTGAATGTGGTTATCTCCTCAATGTCATCTTCAATATAATGTTTTGTGGCCATGTAGGTGTTATTGACATAAGGACGATCTGAAAACGAAATTTAATAATTTTTCGCATGTTAACAAATTCATATCATAGATTTACATGTGGCAATTTAGTTCATTCGAACTCTCCAGGTCAACAAAAGTCTACATGAAAAATATTTTTTCATCTTAGTTTTTTACAGTTTGAATGTTGCTCCAAAACTTATACTTAGATAGTTACAGACCATCTACCACATTTTGATACATGGAATGAAAAGTCAAAAGTCACAATAATATGTTTTATCTTGCATTAATTTAGGAACATAAACAGTTAAACATGCACACACCTGCATACAAATTGAGAAGCAGAAACTGATGTTAAAAAACAACACACACATTAAAAAAAACACAAGAAGAAACAAAAGATAAACAAACAATTTGAAAGTAGTTTTTTATAAACTTACCGAAAGGATTGAACTTTGTGATTGTGATTGAGATGACGATTTTCCACTATGATGATGCAAAACTTTGGAACACGATGCTATAACTCAATATTTCAAGAGACGGTGATAACAGATGAATTAGAAGTGAGTTATACATAGTACGTAACTTATAAAAATGATTTTTGGAAAGGATATCAAAGTTTGATACATTCCTTGCAAAAGTTACGTGAGTGAAGCAATGTTTGTAAAGTTTCTTCAAATTAGAGTTATTTTTAAAGTGATTGACCAAATTTTGATTACGATACTTAAGAAGGTTTATTTGAATTTAATACCTTCCCTGCAAAAATTACGTGAGATTTTAAGGAGGTATTTACTTTCTTCAAATTAAGCGGATTTCATATACTGTATTCTTTTAACAGATTTTAATTTAAAAGACAAAAAATTAGAATTTGACAAGTGGAATTAAAGGTAATTTGAAAAATAGAAAAAATGCCATGTGGCATTGTGAATAAGGTGATGACATGTGGCAATGTTATTTTCTGTTATCAATATAAATATTACAAATGAATAATTTAATAAGTAAGTACCTCGGACAAGCTTCAACTTAGCACATTGAATAAGCAAAACAAAATGACCAGTATGCTTAGAGACATATGCATTAATTTCGTCAGCATACCTTCCCCATAGAGTAACAAAAACTTCGCGTCCTCTGTAAAAAATGATGAAAATTAGTAAAAAAATATATCATAAGAAGAATAATTATAGGTATAAAAAATGAAACCCACTCTAAATCTTCCATTTTGAAGGTGATTTTCTTTTCCTGTTTGTCCTTTGCAGGTTCCAATGGAAAACACCGGAAAACGTTTCCTATAACATCTATATTATACAAAAGGAAAAATGTAAGTATGTTTTTTTTGGTGTAAAAATGAAATTTAAATATTTTAATCCATTAGGAATGGGTTGAAAGGAAATGCACTGACCAAATGAAATTTTCGGGTTGATTGCATTATCATTAAGTTGTTGGAAGTCTGCAAAATCAAAAGAATTGTGTGGCCTGCAAAAATCTGTGCATTTAGTTACCTTCATGGTATACTGGAAATAGAGTTTGTGTGGACCATCAACAAACTTTATAACACCTTCATTTAACCCTAATGTGGGTTTATGAATGTAGAAATCACCATATTCTTCAAAAGATTTTCCTTGAAGCGATGCAAATGGTTTGTCCACATTACATTCAATTTTTGAGCCCTTAAGATAAAAAATCAAATATTAAGTAATAAGCATACAATAAATGTAATGATATATAAAATATGTAAGTTATAATACGCATACATATAATACATATAATCGTAAGTTAACATACGTAAGTTATAACATACCATTTCATCCATCAATATCATGCCAATCATACGAATTTGTTGATTCCATGAAGTTTGTTTCCACAGACAGATGACACGGACCTTAATGGTATAGTCGTCTAGTGAGAGAGCCAACTCACTTATCATGCTAATCTTCCTGTTTTCCATTAATCTGTGCAAGAATGTGGTAATGAACATAAGAAAACACAATTTCAATTGCATAAACGACATAACACATTTAGGTCAATTGTGTACCAAATGTGTAAAACTGTGAAATAAGGTAGAGAGAAATCATAACGACTAAAAATTTTTAATTTACAAATATATGCAGCAATGCCCAAAATACAAAATATGGAAATTGTAAATTTCCTTAATGAAATCACTGAAGTTATGAAGATTATTTATATGTTTTTTTTTGAATTGGAAGTAGATTGACGTATGAGAAGACACATTTAGGTAAATATGGATGAAATGTGTTAAATAGCCAACATATTTGTAAAAATGACGTTTTTGCCCCTTGCTCATACAGAAATCATAGAGAGTTGGGGACAGAAAAAAGTATTTGTATTTTTCACTTTAGTCAATCAACATTAAAAAAAAGCCACAATAATAGTGATAATAGACCATTCCATTCCTTTTCCTGTTTCCATTCCATCACACCAAAAAAATATAACCACTTTTAAATAAATAGGAAAACACATATAACAGCACTGAAGTTATCAAGATTTTAAGGAGGTATTCACTTTCTTACCTGCTATGCGTAATGAAACCAATGGAGTTATGAAGAATATTTATATGTTTTTTTTAATTGGAAGTAGATTGAATCTATGCAAATACACATTTAGGTCAATATGTAAGAAATGTGTAAACAACCAAGAAAACTGTAAAAATAACGTTTTTGCCCCTTGGTCATACAGAAATCATAAATAGTTGGGGACAGAAAAAAGTATTTGTATTTTTCAATTTAATAAATCTACATTAAAATAAAAAAAACCCACAATAATAGTTATAATAGACCATTCCATTCCTTTTCCTGTTTCCATTCCATCACACAAAAGAAGTATAACCACTTTCAAATAAATAGGAAAACACATAAAACAGCACAGTTGAAAAAAAATATGCATAACAGTTAATTTTTTTTAAATTATATTGCTGTAAACGGTTTCAAGTTTGAATCCCAATCTTGAAAGCAAGGACTTAGGATGGAAAACAGGGGCTTAAAAAAGACAATTTAGTTCATTTCTAACTCTCCAGGTCAACAAAAGTCTACATGAAAAATATTTTTTCATCTTAGTTTTTTACAGTTTGAATGTTGCTCCAGAACTTATACTTAGATAGTTACAGACCATCTACCACATTTTGATACATGGAATGAAAAGTCAAAAGTCACAATAATATGTTTTATCTTGCATTAATTTAGGAACATAAACAGTTAAACATGCACACACCCGCATACAAATTGAGAAGCAGAAACTGATGTTAAAAAACAACACACACATTAAAAAAAACACAAGAAGAAACAAAAGATAAACAAACAATTTAAAAGTAGTTTTTTATAAACTTACCGAAAGGATTGAACTCTGTGATTGTGATTGAGATGACGATTTTCCACTGTGATGATGCAAAACTTTGGAACACGATGCTATAACTTAATATTTCAAGAGACGGTGATAACAGATGAATTAGAAGTGAGTTATACATAGTACGTAACTTATAAAAATGATTTTTGGAAAGGATATCAAAGTTTGATACATTCCTTGCAAAAGTTACGTGAGTGAAGCAATGTTTGTAAAGTTTCTTCAAATTAGAGTTATTTTTAAAGTGATTGACCGAATTTTGATTACGATAATTAAGAAGGTTTATTTGAATTTCATACCTTCCCTGCAAAAATTACGTGAGATTTTAAGGAGGTATTTACTTTCTTTAAATTAAGCGGATTTCATATACTGTATTCTTTTAACAGATTTTAATTTAAAAGACAAAAAATTAGAATTTGACAAGTGGAATTAAAGGTAATTTGAAAAATAGAAAAAATGCCACGTGACATTGTGAATAAGGTGATGACATGTGGCAATGTTAAATGATGCATGTGGTTGATATTAGATATCATTTTTGGAACAGCTATAATATTTGAGATATATTCAGTTATTCACAATATCACTTGATTAATGAAGTAAGATTTATGTGAACAACTTGAAGTTCAACCGACGTTTTGTTTGTTTATGGAAGCTAACATTTTCACTAGTACAAAACGTATTTTTTTATGCGATGAGGTTTTTTTTTGGTGCGGTCGTAGCCTAAAACCGCACCATTAAAATACTTTCGCTCTAACAAATGCATTTTTTGATGCTATTTTCTTTAAAAGCACTAATAAATGCATTTTTTGATGTTGTTTTTCAAAATCGCATTAATAAATGTATTTTTTGATGCGGTTTTCTAAAACCGCACTAATAATAAATGTATTTTTTGATGCTGTTTTCTTAAAAAGCACAAATAAATGCATTTTTTTTATGCTACTTTTAAAAGTTGCACTAATAAACGTATTTTTTGATGCCGTTTTCCAAAACTACGGTAATAGCACTGACATTTTTTGGGTCCTCTCACCCGTGTCTGCATCATCGTCGATTCGGGCTGCCACAGCTTCCATCATCTCTGATTTCGGTCGACCCCACTCCTATCATTGCTGATTCACGACTTCAGGTCAGCAAGGTGATGAATCTGAATAATCTTTGAGGAGTTGACCTCCACTATAATCATCTTTGTCCATCGCGATCAACCCATCGTCAAGACTGCCATGTATGTTTCTGATATTCTGATTTATAATTTTGATTCATAAAATTACTTAATCTATATGTCTGATACTCTGATTTCTTAAGTTAGGTTGTGAAAAAAAGAAGGGGTTGGGCAAAGAAGCTTGTGACGTTCAAAGGAGAGCACATATCTATGCAGGGGAAGATATAAAGGTAGAAAAAAACCTAAAAAAAGAAACAATCTCATGTCTTTTATCTACAAAAATTGAATTAAGGCAAGTTTTTTCCTTTGTATTGATAATATTTCTAACCTGTGTAATTTACCTTTTGATTAAATGGATTGTATGCCTTTTGATAAAATTACTTTGTAAGTTAGCTTCTAAATTCCTACCGAAGCGAGGTAACAGAGTCAAAGGTGGGCATCATCTCCAAAAGTCTGCAAGATACCGAAGAAGAGCCATATGAAGATGACGATAACGAAACTGAACACGTCTATATCAAAAAAAAACTTGAATATGCTTATGTAGTTACCTTCCTAAACAACTTACATACCTGAAGTTATTATATCAAATTGTAAATAGATACAAGGATGAAAATGTTAGAAAAGAATGTGATTTTTTATAAAGATAATTTGAATCTCTTGTATGGTTTGTGCCTTTACATCTATTATGATTTTTTGTTGTTTTGTTTCTGTATTGTAAATCAAGCGGTTTATCTTTGTAATGGTGATGCTCTTGAGGTTTTTTTATTTTATTTAATGGAGCGGTTCTAGCTTTTAATAGTGTGGTTGTACTCCCTTTTTAATGGAAAAAGCATTTGTTTTTTGGTGCGGTTGTTCTATCTTTTGAGGCAGTTTTATAACCGCATCAATAAATAAGACTATTTTTTAAGGCGATATTTTTTGAGGCGGTTCAATAACCGCATCTATTAATCATTTTAACCGCATCAAAAAAATCTTTCTGTACTAGTGTTTAACTGTAGTCGTTTAAAATACACAACATGATTTTAATGGACGGGAATGTATATAGTTAACATATCAAAACTAAGTTTTTCACGCTTTTATTTGCATTAATATAGTTTTTTATCCTTCGTTTGGTTGTATGCCAATGTTGGGGAAACTGTATCTCTTTTACTATAAAAAGAATCTAATTGGGAAGTTTGAGGAGTGTTGAAGGAGGAGGACATGTATATTTTTTCGAATATCTTTTTTTGGCAATGGCAAGGTAAGACTTGTATATGTAAGTTGAAATGGTTTGACTGAAAGAATTAAATTTGAACTTTGAACTTTGTATATGTTGGCCATGATATGTGTGTTCATTGTTGTAACATGACGTCTTGTGGTGACGAACTAATTTTTTGGTACAAGAGTTACTGTTAACTCAACGACACAACCGGCCGAGCGCGGAATCGCTAGGTGGTGTGAGGATGTCATGGATCACAATTATTGAATACATAGAAGAAATACAACAAATAACATAAAAGTGGAAAATCTTATTATTGAAAATGAATTACATAAGCGCTTGTCTAGAGTTACGACAGTTAATATTATATAAGCATGCCTCTAAGAGTAGACTAATCTATAGAAACTTCATTGCTAATCTAAGATGATTATGACTCCAAGACATATTCCATAGGCATAAGCTTCCCGCTCTTATTTCCCTGAGGATACATGTTATTTGAAGATAGTCAATATAAAGTTGGTGAGTTCACATGTTTAAGTATTTGAATCATAGTAGTTTCAACTATATAATTATTGAATCATTCACACTTCAATGTTACAAAGAGCCCCTATAACCAAGCTGTGACTAATTAAGTGTTGTGCCCCATCCGATGGTTCATTGACATCGCCATAAGTAAAGACAATTATCACCAATTCTGACTTGTTCGTGAAGGTTGTAGCTAATAACCATAGGTGTGGTTACCAACCCATATAGATCTACACATAATTCATTCGCTCACAAAGATCAACAATTATAAGTATGGGTCTTCTAAATATTATATGTCTTTCGACATCATCACACTTAGGTAATAAATGTGTCTCATGTAACCATTGAGTTATAAGTTCCATATGTTGATAAGTTCATACGTTCATGTAACGCCCGTGAATTCGGGCTAGATGGTTTAAGGATTGTAAATTATAAATATTCGTTTATCGAACAACTAAATCCTCGAATATGATAATCGTAAATAAATAAGAAACCTTCGTACGCGATTTGAGTTATATAAATGTTATTTATATATTGCGTACAAGTTTTATGGACAAATATTATGAGTTTATAATATTTATATAAAAAATTATTATAAATTTAACGAATCACGTTAAATAAAGTTTAAAAATAAAATATTGTTTATGACAAATAATCTTAATGAAAATTGTAGTAGTCGCGATGATGATTCTGTGGGTTTAAAGAACTCCCAAATTTGACTTTGTATGAAGAAGTTATGATTTTTCGAAATTTCGCTTTTAGCCCTATACGACATAAGATGTCATAAAAGATGAATCAAATATAGATTTCTTATTAGGTTAAGTGAATTAAATGAAAGTCGTAGTGAGGTATTGAAAGTGTATTTTCCAAACAATATACTTTCTATACCAAACGAATCCTACATCCGATCTTACCTGATTATTCCTTATCAGCTAGAACTTGAAATAGTCACTGGGATTACTGAGAAATCTAAAAATAGTTAACATAACCTTATAAACACAAGCAAATACTGAGACATAGTAATACTCGTATTTAGGTTGTTTCAAAGGGATAGCTGAAGTATTAGTTGAGGAGCTAGCTTTCCCTGTGGATCTTCCACCTCAATCAAGTGAGTGCATAGTTACTTTAATGAACATGACCTTAATACAAGTATTTATTAAAAGTATTAAATATCTATTGAATGTTGATATGTGAATTAAATGCTTATTATCTGGAATGTGTTACATGTATATGATGGGTTTTCTAGGTTACAATAACAAGTAATCAAACATGATTTGTACATTAGAATTTCACACGAACAATATATGGGCACATGCAACCTAGAGATCTTTGGATTTTATCATAATAGCAACATAATTTGAAAACCCTAAACTAATCTATGTAAATCAAAAATCACAAAGAAAGAAACATATACCTTTTGAAATAATTGAATATAGCAACGAACTTTCTTCAACCTTCCTTGGAATGCAAGAACCAATAATGGGGATGACTTTAATGGTGTAACATCCCAAAAATCAAGGTAAAATTTTAATTTTTCAAAACCAAACAAAAACCATAAATGTTTACAAAACATTGTTTCCAAAGTGTCAAAATCACGAATCAGAGTTTCCCAAAATCAAATCTCAACTTCTAACCTGTTTTCACTTCTATGAGATTCTTCATCTTTTCTTTCAAGGTTTGTTTTTCTAGAACAACTTTTGCAACATCTAACTTAGCCATTTTCCCAATTTGATAAGGATTTCTCAATTAACGTTCGAAATCTAATCCTTATTAATAGGAATTTCATTTTCATTTACTTCTTTACCGCCTTCATCTCCCCCTTGTTGTGTAGTAGCCGACCTACGTGTAACATCTAAAACTTCATTTAACTTCGCAATAATAAGTTTCATCTTGTCGTCAATAAGTTGTGAAGTTATGACCTTTTACCAAAAGTAACTCTTCACTCATCTGGGCAAGTTGAATTGTATCATTTTTTTCAATTGTTCCTTGAAAACATTCAGCTTGTGAGTGGATTTAGCAAGAGCATCCATGATTCGGTTTTCATGAGCAAGATCATTATTCATTCATAAGATAGAGTTGGCAATAGACGTATGATGATCTGCATTATCACATTGAAGACCATAGCAAAGACTGGATAGAGATTCCTTCTCAGTTTTAAGAGATAAATGAAATCCTTCAATCACTTTATTAACTTCAGAAACATTCTTACCAGAAGAATTTTAAAAGTCAGTCATGAACTTTTGCATGTTGGAAGATATTTCCTTTACCTCCGAAACAAGTTTTTCAATCTTCTCATTTGTTTTCACAATCTTCTTAGCTGAATCTGCCATTAATTTCTTTCGAGCTTCAAAAACATTAGCATTAGAGTTGACTAAAATTTTGATGGTTACTTGATGAGTAGGAACCATATTTTCCCAGTTTGTTGTGGAAAAAAATTTGTATGCTTAAGAATCTGATCCATCTTTTTGTTTAGCTCATAAATTTCACCTTGAGTTATTGGAGCAGATAAGCCAACATCATCGTCACATTTAATTCTAAAATTGAAATCAGGAATAGGAAAATCATCAAGAGAATCAGGTTCATCGCCAACATTAAAAATTTGCATCAGAACAAGGAGACCTAGGAGGAACATAAGATGATGTAGGTTCAGAAACCTTCACACCAATGTTGACATTTGAGTCCATATTAGATGTGTTCTCAGAGATGCCTGAAGTTCTATTCAATTCCTCATCCGATTCGAAAGTAGAAACTTCTGGCGAAGTATATGTCGTTGGAGTAGGTTGCGTCACAGAAGGATTATTTGTGGAGTCAATAAAGATTGGAATCTGAAATAATGAAGTATTTTGAAAAGAAAATGTTGGTTTAGAAATAGATGTTGGAAGTGGTGATATGGTAGTTTCAATCGGAATAGATGTTGATTTAGGAAGAGGTTGTGGTGAGGTTTGAGAAAGATTTATGATGGGTTCATTCAATATATTCTCAAATACATCAGACTCAGGTGGAGTTGATATCCGAGTAGAGACTTTCAAAGTTGCAATTTAGACAATTGGTTCAGAATTCTTAGAAAGGACTTCGGAAGTATGTACATTATCATCTTCATTAACAAAAGTTTCTTCACCCATAACATTACTGTGAGTTTGATCATCTGAATCTTCATCAATCATAGCTCATATATTCTTTGGCTTTCTTTGTCGCTTCGTTTTCTTTAATACAACCACAGTAGCTTGCAATTTTTTTTACCTCCTTTTTTAGAGCATCAACAGTTGCAAGAGCTGCTTGTAAAGAGGCAGGAATTTCTCGAACACCTGAATTTGGAATTTCCCTGTAAGCTTTGATAATATCATTATCAAAAGGAACTCTAGGTAGCATCACCTTCAAAATAGAACCAACATAATTGAAATTCTTAGGATCAAAAGTAACAAAGGTAGTTGTATGCATCTTTAGAATCACAACAACCACAAAATCTTTCATTTCTGGAACTTTTTAATGATTTAGGGCACGACGAACAACTATCAATCAGAAACGTGCATAGGAAATTTCTGAATCTTTGGTATTTGAACTCACGCTTTGAGTAAATCGAATCCAAACAATAGATCAACAGTCAACACTCTCCCCATAAAGTAACCCATAAATCAATGTGTAGAAAACTTTGCTTGCACTATCAGAACCAGTAACCCTTTCCAATAAACACTTGAACAAGATAGTAAGTAGTACATTCCAAATTGGAGGCAAACTAGATATCTTAAACTTAAAAAAAAGAGAAATATCAGAATTGTACCCGATTTGATTGAATATAGTAATGAGACGAGAAACTACTACTGAATTTGGAAGAAGAACACCTGGAGAAGAATAAATCCCTAGAAATTTGTAGAAATTTACCTTGTAAATTGAAGTTTTGTGACAATGAACTTCAAAATTCATCACCTCCTGAGCACTGTTGTAAATAGCAGTTGAATACGTTGTGGATAATTGAGACAAAGGAACTTTCTCGACCATTGTTAAAGCTTTCATCAATAGTAAATAGTTTAAACATTCGATCAAGGGTTGAATGATAGGGTTATACTTCAAAGCATCTAAATCGGCCACCAAATTCTGATTAACTTTGGTTTTCAAAATGGCAGTTGATGCAGTTTGATCCATGAAAGAAATATTCCCAGAAGAATCCATTTATAGATGAAGATTTTTTGTAGAAAATCAAAGTATAGTAGAGAAAATTATAGAATCCTTTTAAAACTTGTATGAGCATAAAGAACAAAATGTATAACTCTGAAGCTTTATATAGTCTTGGATAATGAAACAATTTTTATTTGAATTTGAATTGGTACCCATAATTGGAGAGAGAAAGAATCGTTCACATATTAAATGCCTATAACTTCCATGCCAGCCAAGAGTTCCTACGCCCAACTTGTAAAAATTACAACCCAATAGAAAACCGCTAGCTCATCACTTTTCCAACTGCTTTTGACACTGTTTGAAATTGCTTAATTGATATCATGATCTTCCAAATATGCGCCATGATTTGATTTTCCGTTTTATGAAACGTACAATTTTAAATTGCAGTAGTTTCACAATCACTAATCCACCCTTTTGCTTTGCATAAGCTAAAATAGAATCCATTGGAATTACAATTAGGATTGATTTCGAAACTAAGTATAGTTAACCAAATTTAAGAAGAGTTTCATCTAGTCATGCGAAGAATGACTTGAATCACTAACTAGACTTTGTGAAATCTTGGTTCAGATTGGTTTAATCTTAGACCTCAAGGATTTCAAGTGAAGTGTGTGAAAGTACTAGAGAAATTAGATTTTAGAAATAGGATAGGATGGTGGTGCATCACGTTATCCTACGGTGATAGTAGGAGATCATAGCACATAATTTTATAAAACAAAAAGTTTCGAATTGGTTTTATCGGAAACCTCAGGAGTGCTATGTGAAATATGATAAAGATATGAAAGAAATAAACAAATGGAGTGACGATACTGTCAATTCCTTTTGGGTAATGAATCGTGGGTATCACTCTCCATTGTAGTGATAATAATGAAAAGATCATAAACACATAATTTTGTACGCCTATATCACGTTCTTTATACTTGATAATCAGGGGGTTACATGGAAATCGAAAACATATATGGTAGAAAAAAGTTATGGAGTGAAGTTGGTACAATAAAACATGATTTTCTTTCATCCGCCAATTCCTTTAGTTGCATACTATAATTCGTAAACGAATTCACCATCAATTTATATTTGGAAACGAGTTTCTCACAATTTCATGGTAATAGTGAAATCGATCATAAAAACAATTTTCATGAAACCAAATTTCAAGTTGGTTTAGACTCAGAACATCAGGGGTTAAGTGAAAATCATTGTTGAGAGATCAAAAAATTCATAACAAAAATAAAGAATATTTTTCGATTTTTAATATTTTTAAAAATAAAAGACAAAAATAAAGAAAATCTTTTTGAATTTTTGATATTTTTGGAAATAAAAGACAAAAATATAGAAAATCTTTTTGAGTTTTTTGATATTTTTGAAAATAGAAGAAAAAATAAAGAAAATATTGATACCTAGTGCACCGGCCTACGAATCATTGTACACTCTCGCAACTAAGAAGTATCTAGAGCATAAAAAAATCAGAAAAATCCAATATTAAACAAAAAATGAAAACGGTTATGAATTTAATAGTAAGTTCTCAAAGCTTCCGAAGATCGGAATATTTCGGAAATAAACAGTGAATTCTGATGTGAACAGTGAATTCTGATAGCATCCGACGATCAGAACAATTCAGAATTATGAAAATGAGTTCGGAAAGGATTCAACCTCAATCCTTATGAGCCCTTGAAGAATTCGATTAAAAGTGACTTATGGTAAGGCTTTTGTAAATATGTCTGCCAATTGATCCACTGATCTAAGAAAATGAACTTCAATGTTTCCGTCTTCAACATGTTCTTTTATGAAATGATATCATAAGGCGATGTGTTTTCTCTTAGAATACTGAACAAGATTGTGACAAATAGAATTGCACTTTCTGAGTCATAATGAAGAGGAATCTTCTTCATACAAATTCCACAGTCTCTTAATTGACTTTCCATCCAAATAATTTTTGATGTGCATGAAGCACCTACTATATATTCGACTTTCACTGTTGAAAGTGAAACAAAAGGTTGCTTCTTTGATTGCCAACTTATAAGTTTACCATCCAATAATAGACAACCGTCTGTAGTACTTTTGCGATCAATCCCACAACCTCCGAGATTTGCATCTGAAATGTTTGTATAAAAATCCAAAATTAGTTGGATACTATAAACCAAGTGATGATGTTCTCTTTAGATATTGAAAGATATTTTTCACTTCTATCATGTGTGGCTCTCGAGGATTAGCTTGATAACAAGCACAATAGCATTCTGCAAACATAATATCTGGCCTATTCGAAGTGAGATATAAAAGTGTTACAATCATTTGACGATACAGTGTAAGATCTACATAAGGTTTATGAAGATATGGAGTCAACTTAGTTCCATATGCAATTGGAACTTTTATCTCAGAGTCCTCTGTCATTCCAAATTTTGTAAGAAAAGATTTAGTATAATACTCCTGATCAGTGAATATACCTTCCTTACTATGTTTGATATTTAAATCAAGCAATAAATTTATTGGACCCATCTAATTCATTTCAAATTTAGATTACATCAATTTTCAAGTTTAGGTTTCATCAATTTTCAAAATTCACCTTCCTTTTTGCGAAAGAAAGTAGGATCAAGTGAACCTTGTTTAAATTTGGATTGTTCAAAGAACCGAGTTAGAGTTTCATACCAGGCACATGGAGCTCATTTCAAACCATAAACAACTTTATTAAGAACATAATAATGATCTAGATATTGTTTATTTACAAAACATGGTGGTTGTTCAACATACACTGTTTCTTGAAGTTCGCCATTCAAAAATTCACACTTCACATCCATTTAAAAAACTTCAAAATTTTTATGTGCTGCATAAGCTAGAAAAATACAAACTGATTCCAATCGAGCGACAGGTGCACATGATTCTTCATAATCTATTCCTTCTTCTTGGCAATATCCTTTACCCACATGACGTGCTTTGTTTCGAATAACATTGCCTTCTTTATCCAGCTTATTTCGAAAAACCCACTTGAGACCAACAACAGATGCATCATTAGGTGTAGGAATTAATCTCCATACTTTGTTTATATCAAACTCATGTAATTCGTCATGTATTGCTTTTAACCAATCTGTATGATCAAGAGCAACTTTAACAGTTTTAGGTTCAATTTTAGAAATAAAAGAGTTGAACATGCAATATTCCATTTTTGAAAATAAAGCAGCTTGTTTTACTTTTAGTTGAGCACGAGTTAAGACTCCTGAAAAAGTATATCCAATGACTTGAGATTTCGCTTGATCTCTTGTCTATTTTGTTAAAGGTAGATAATTCATATCATATTCAGGATCAATTTCAACATTTATTTCTTCAAATTCCGATTGCTTATCAATGTTATCATGTGATAAACGCCCCCTATACATTTGCATTCAAATTTGAACTCTCCCATGGAAATAATCATGATTGTTTAAATTATCCCCTACACAAGATCATCAGTATGTAAATAAGAATCAAAATTAGAAATTGAAGAAACAATTTCTTCATTTGAACTAGGAACAAAATTGTCTTTATTTTCTTCCAAAGAAGTATGATTCTGATTTTAATCATGAATTTCAATGTTTTCATTTGCATCATCAACTAGTTTCAACAAAAATATTAATTTTTTTAAATAAAGAGTAATATTGTAACGTCTGGTTCCTGGTATGTATTTAACTTATACCTATTCATTGTTATAATAGCAACTCGACGAGTTGGAGGCCCCAAACTTGTTGAGTAGATATGTTTTGGACCGTGCGTTTTGGTGACGAACTCGACGAGTTGGGAGGTCTCAACTCGACGAGTTGGCTGGGTAAAATGAAACCCTAATTCCAGGGTTCTGCACCCTATTTAAACACCTTAACCCCTAGGTGTTGGCCTCATTTCCAGCCTCCACTGTCCTAACCCTAAATCTCGAAACCCTAAAGCTACTTTGAGTGATTGTGAGCCATTTTGGTTGTTTTTGGTGTGTGTTGAAGCCATTGGAAGAAAGAAAAGCTTGAAGACACAAGAAGGAGCTTATAGATCCGGAATCTTGCCTCATCCACAACACTTTTCTGGTATAAAGGTTGAACCTTGACTTGTAGTTGTTTAGATCTTCTTTTAGGGTTATTTTGTTTGGTTTTGTCCAAATATCATGGTCCATGGGAGTTGGACGTCCCAAATGGGTTAACACTTCAGATCTAGGGTCTTGAGGGGTTTTCATAGCATAAAGGTGCAACTTTATGGCCATGGGAGACCCATGCAACCTTTAGACCATCATTTTGGCCTTTTGGAGCTTCTAATGGCCATGCATGTAGAGAAAGCTGGAACCTTATGTGATT